TTTCGTAAACTAAAATAGAAAGAAGAATACGAAAATAGCAAATCCATATCGAGCGATACCTCGTGCTGATAACGTGTTATAGAATAAGCCCTATTAACTCACAAGATAAAATATATAAATTAAGCAATAAGAATACATGTATATATATGTAGTAATAGGGAACGTCAGGGCATAAGCGCCCTCTTGCTACCCTATATAGGAAATAAATTGACTTCCAGAGCGGAGCTACGATTGAGAAGGAGACAGATTGATTATGCCTCTCTGGCAAAATGCAATTCGTCGAGTTCAATCCAAGGTGCACCTTGCCTTTTTTCAGGTAGTTTTCTTACGCCTATTCAGCTAGTGGTAGTAGTTTGTCAGCACCGAAGAAAGGGGATCCGGGAAGCCTAGTCCAATGACGGTGGAAAGCAAGTAGCTAACAGGGACCCGGCTTAATACGGAATATCCGGTGTTACAACCGATTCTCCTATATTAGCTAGTCGAAGATGCGAGGACTGGTTCAGAGCTAGAGTTGGCTAGCTCCAAGCTAAATTGCTCTGGAGACTTCTCACATGTACCGCTTGAGTTAGATTTCCGGTCCTAACAGCGTATTCGCCGAAAGACCGTCTTCTCCGCATATAGCTTGATACAACGTAATTATTCTGATTTCTCAGAATATAAACTATAATGGCGAGAATAGTGAGCAATTGAGAAGTGGAGAAATTCAATATCTATATTTATGCATTACGGAGAGAGGGGGTATTTATACAACGTAATTTGAAGCATTGTCATGCTTTATTTAAGATAACTACTATACAAGGATGACATGTATCATTAGAAGTATATGTAGCAATAGTTGGTCAAATTTTAGGCCATACGTATGGTCTATAATATGAATCTATTTATTTGGGAAAGTATTTTAATTGAAGTGGTTGTGGTCCAATTCCAATTTTAAAATATTGTAGAATATATTAATTTATTTATATTTAAAATGGTCCATATTTTAATATTGTTTACAGTATAAGAAAATGGTCCACCAACCATTTATTTGAACTCCATTCTTATGTAATATGCCTTTTATAATTTTGAGAACTATGAATTTTATTTGTACTTTGTTGGAAATTTTATTTATTAAAATAAAATTAATTTTTGAATGGAAATTAAAAAAAAAAAATTTAGGCACTTATGTGATCAAATAGGTATGACAATATGAAGAGGTGTGGCCACACCTTTTCATTTGTTTAATTTCCTAAGGGTTGTGTTCATTACTCACAACCATTGAAACCTATAAATAAAAAGCTTCACATGTTTGATTTAACAATATGATAAAAATAAATTCAATTCCATAATTTTGTTCTGTGGAATTGTTCTTTCTTTAGCCCGGAAATATTCTTCGTAGAATATTTTCTTCCGTATTCGATTCGAGAGTTTGAGACACAAAGTAACATTCGTTGTACTCGGGATTTTGAGTGCTCATATGCCGAGTTAGCCGTTGTATCTTGGGAGACGATTATCAAATAACCGTAAGCACCGTAGCGGGGCAATATCGTCTTAAGGAAAGAGTTTACTCGCCTCGGCTAATCTTCTCGTATTTTCACCATCTAATTTGTTCGACCATTTTACTAAATTCACTACCCGTTTTATATACCGGGAACAATAATCATAAGACGATAAGTTAGTGTGATTTAGTAAATTGTGTGTTCTGCACACATTGGTAAACGGGATGGAGAAGAAGATAGTCTGTCAAAAATCAAGAAGTTACAAAATCGAATTGGAGGAAAAAAATCATTTTCGGACAGAACATGAAGTCCACGTCCCGTCTCATTCTCGAAGGTGTTCCAGGCCGAATATGAAAAATTAGCATATCACATAAGTTGTAGATAATCAAGTTGGCTTTCCAGATCATGTTACATATTTACAATCGCAGATCGTACAAAGAAGTTATGATAAAAACACGAAAGGGTGCCAAAACTGCCAATGCACCTTTTTCATGTAAAATACAACCGTTCGTGACCAATGCAACTTGTCGCATATTAAACGCCTCACCAATATCCAATGCACAAAATTTTGGTGAAAGAATACTGAATCAAAGAATAATGATGAGGTTTTATATTATTTTCAATTCGTGAATATTATTAAATATTTTTTTGTGGTTCCATTGTAGGTGCATTTTTACAGCACACATATTCTTACTTCGAGGCTTACTTTGATCATGATCCAGTCTGAATCTCAGAAAACGTGAAAGATAAAAGTTGTAGAAATTTTGTTGTCTATTTGGATCATATTGAATCAACAAAATCGGACTTCAGACGAAGAAATATGATTAAATCATTCAGCACTGCCATAATATTGACACGATTTGGTGCTACCTACAAAATTTTGCATTGACGAACATATAATTTATCGGGTACGCTTTTTGATTATAAGATATATATTTGTGTAATAAATTGATCATGCTATATGATATAATGGCGGATTATTGCATGATAGTTTAATTTTCATATGTGGAAGTGTTAAGTGTATATTTATACACTTAATTGTACCTTTTAATTGGAGCTTTTGGTGTGTTTTAACGATAATTGGTGCTTAAAATGGCTATTATTTGTATTTTAGGTGCAAATTGGAGAATTGACAACTTTTGGGGTGAAAACTGCAATTTCGGAGAAAAAGTGGGCCAAAAGTGAAAAAAGCAGAATTCTGGAGAATTAAAAGACCGCACGGCCGTGCGGATTTTAGTTCTCAATCTCACACGGCCGTCCGGATGGACGTGAAGGCGCAGTGAAGGAATTTTAATTACACAAGGAAACCCGCCCTATTATATTTTTGCACCCTATTTAAAGGCCAAGAGCACACAATTAGATCTATCTTTTATTTTTCATCTTTAATCTTTAGGGTTTTTATTTTTAATCTTTCTACACGCAATCAAGGAGCACAAGAACGAAGACGAAGACTTGACGAATCTTCATCATAGTTCTCCTCTTTTATTGTTATTTATAGTTTTATGATTTTTCGTATTTTTATTATGTTTTTCGTAACGAACATGCGTAGCTAAGTTTTTAATCTAGGATTTTGTTGGAACCCTATGTAGGGATTGTGAACCCTTTTTCTTGAGATTATGCAATTATGATTTTATGATTATTTCCTCTACTTGATATGATTGTTAGTGCATGAACTTGATCAATTTATGTGCTTTATCTGTGATTATTGGGATTTACTCGACAGAGCTATTTTGATAATTAGACGGTGAGTAGAAGAGCCTTCGAGTAGTTTTCACCGGATGAGTGTGTCAATTGCATGTGGTGTCGTAGACATACAGATATCACCTTAGGTAGCCATTTACGAGACTTGTTAGTTAATGCTTTATTCATAATTGGTTTGCATAGACATATAGTGAATCGTTTATGAGTAATAGACTCATAATACACGCGACAGCGGGTTATGAGTAAATTAGTGTCTCGGGTTAATAATCATGAATCATATATTTCATAATTGAGGGGTTTTGGGTGAGCAATTCTTGCATAGGGGGAAGAAAAAATCCTAGATCCGTTTTTATATTGATATTATCTCTTGTTTATTTGCTTTCCTAATTAGTTTAATATATTTAGTTGATTAAATTTGACAACCTTGCGTAGGCTGGATAAAAATCATAGTTGTTAGAATTTGGTACTTAGGATTAGGTAATTTGAGTATTCCCTGTGGGATCGACATCCGACTCTCACGAGTCCACTTTTACTACTTGTTTGCGATACGTGCACTTGCGTGTTAGGTATTTAGCACCCAACAGGAAGCGCGGTAAATCATATACAAGATATATGCTTTAATGAATATTAATTATGTTTGTGTATCTACATTAATGATATAACTAATTTTATCCTAAATGCAATAAAGTGATAGCGTATGTGTTAATTATTTGAATAAGTTTATCACAAACCGCATGATAAGTGCTATACTACATGCATGGCATTTCTCATGAAAATGCAATATTTATTTGCATAAATTGTATATAGTTTTGATACGGGATTAGCTTTCTCCCAATTTTCATTTGATGCGGATCCGTCCAGTTGATTGATTTTCGAATATGTTGTATGAAATTTGTGAGTACGTGATCTTATTAACATTTTTATTATTGTATATGAACGATTAGACTTATCTCGTATATTAAGTATGAGTTACTTCATAAGAGGAATATTATTATACATATTATTATTTGCGTAAGCCATACTAATTCCTTAGAATTGTGTTATTGCATGGACACATATAGATTACGTGCTATATATTTATATAAATCAATTATGTTGGACATGAATTAATATATGTCATGAAATATTATGTCCAAACTTGATGTTATTATATACTCGTGTATATACGTATATACTATGTATATGTTGATAAAGTATGCTTGATCGATTGTTTCTTTCTATGAAAGTCGTGCTCACGTCTCAAACATTATTTTTATTACATTGATGCACATGTTATTTATATATGAATCATACTACATTACAATTAAAAACATAATTGAAATAAAATAGAAAGAAAGAGAAGCTCAATTCATGAGAGCACAAGAGTAGTTCTTGTCTCAAGAACATAAAAGAAGATCGAATCGTTAGTTCGATTTGATTTTTTTTTTTGATATCACATTTAGAAGATGATGATCTACAATGTGAATGAATGGATGTTTTGTTGAAAGAAAATTCGAGCAGTTTACTTAAGAGCTCGTTTTGTAGAATTAAATCGTTGGATATGGCTGAGAAATATTAGCTTCATATACTTTTGCATTAGCTCTTATTATTGTTGTCGAGTGCCACTATGAAAGAGTTATGTGAATCTGATTGTTGATTTACTTGTCGAAAACCTTCAGATTGCAAAGAATTGTTGAACCTCGTATGGATAACTCAGAGACGGGTAAGAGAGAGGAATACGAAGAATATTATTATCCTAGGCAGAAGTACGGGACGTGTACGAGAGAGGGTTTCAAATATTATTACAGTTGAGTTGCAGGCTGTAGGCTGCAGGCGTACGGGATGCCTGATAGTGCAATTGATTCTTTGGTTTCTGGTGCGATCGAGTTCTCCAAACACTGCTCGGTGGATGACGACGACCTCCTCGTGATTCCGGTGGTGGTGGATCTGGATGTTTGCACGGTCCAGCTAAAGAGAGAAACAATTGACGAGGCGTACGGTAGGGCGATTAGGTCAGAGTGCTTGATGAATTTGGGGAAGGTTAGAGTTGAAGATGTTGATCTAGGGTTGAGTCTTATGGAGACGTGTCCTATTTGCTTGATTGATCCCACCGTTGGAGATCAGATATCGGTTCTTCCTTTCGGTCATGCTTTTCATAACCATTGCATTGTCCAATGGTTGATCAACAGCAATTCGTGCCCCTCGTGCCGTTTGCGGTTTGATAGTAATTAATTAATTTATTTATTTACCAGCGGCCGAGTTTTTCATTTATTTATCTAACTTTCCATATCTTGTATGTATTGAATTGATTCGAGTTATTTAACTTTCCCTATCTCAAGTTTTCTTTTGTATAAACTGTTTTGTGTAGTTATTTTGATATCTTACCTAGATAGTTATTGCATGTTACGTTTTACCTAGTTATTCGAAAATTGCAATTATAATTTGTGTGTGCTGCAATCAAGACCTAGGAACATCGTACGTCATGTTCCTGAAAAAAGCTTCGTTTTTGTAATGATTTTTATTCGCTTGTGCGTGTCTTTTTTTTTTTTTTTTTTTTTTTTTACCATTGTTTGGTTGACCACAATCGAGTTGACATTTTGGGGCTCGTTATGAGCCGGAGTGTGGCAACAACTGTAGTTTCCGCTCGCATTAATTAGACGGCATTCATCCCCGTCGGTGCATCAAATTATGCCTGCAAAAGTTTTTCTTTGTTTTGTACAATAGGAAGAATGCTAATTGACCAAGGATGTAAATTGTTGTGCATGTTGTTGGAAGAAAAGCTGCACTACTTCCGTTGCATGTGGAGAATACTCGAGCCTAGAGAAAAATGAGTTTGTTTTTTTTTGTTCCTATAAATATAATCAAAATAAATTAAATAAATAAATAAATCGAAGCCTTGTGCTGAAGAATCATCAGACCTTCAGAGAGGTTCCTAATGAAGTAGTTGTGGGGTCCGATGAGACGAGGGCAGGTTCGCATATTTCTGTTCCCCAACCACCGACCGTGCTTCCAAATTAGTGCATTCGTGGAACTGTTATTTTTTAGGGGTCTTAGAGCATGTACAATGGACTAGCTAAAAATCCTCTCCAAAGTGTGGGGTCCATATGCCACACTCATTTTCATTCACTTTATCACCTATCTAAACATGGGTCCCACATTTATCACTCTCGATATTAAAATTGCTCCAATGGGTATATTTTGTCGCTCTCCAAAATGACTCTCCAAATATTAAACTATAATAAAATATTCACTATTAATATAAAAAAAATACAAATTAAATTTCAAGATTTTATATTTAATTAATAAAATTAATATAATTAACTTGACTTTGAAATTAGGCTAATTACGTAAACAAAATTACCATTTAATCATATTGTGATTTACGTTAGTTTATTTTTTTTATTTTTTTATTTTTGTAATATATAAAAACTAATTAATAATATTAAAATTTAACAACTAACATAAAATTGACATAAATATCGTAATAGGTATTATTAATATTCAATTAAAGTTACTTTCATTTTATTATTATTGATAAATATTTGTTGAAATACTTAATTATTATAAAAAATATTTAAGAATATGAAATTAACAAATAAAATAAAATTGAATTTTATTTATTAAATATTTTTTTTTCGTTTGTTCGCTTCGATAAGAAAAAAAATTAAATTTAAATTTAATTAGCATTTAAAATTTATAATATTTCATTTATCATTTAAATATATACATTAATTAAAGTTAAACAAAATAGAAATAAAAGAACAAGTAAATGATATAAAAAAATATTAGTTAAAAATACATGGACCCACATACCTTTGCTAGTTTGCTCCATAACTGTGGCGAGGACTATTCCACTGCAGGCCAATTTCCTCTCCACATTTTACCTAGCCTTAAAGTCTGACACTAAAAGGGCTTTTAATGAGCCCATTGTACATGCTCTTAACATATATGTCCTTAGTGAAAAAAATTATTAGAACTAAATGACAAGTCTAATTAAACTTTTGCTTCACATCCTTTATAAATTTCATTCCACAAATGCTCTTCATTCACAAAATATGAAATATGCACCAAGTAATATTTAAATTGCATGTATCAGTTTTTTTATTCTTTATTTGGCATATTCACTTTTGGATCTAACATTTTTTTATTATTTTTTTACGTAGAAGAACGTTATGTTACATTTTTTTTTTTTTTCATTTTCGTATTTTTTTACTATTATAGAAATATTTTTTTTTCTACATAATATTGAAAATTATAAATTAAAAAAAAAAATCGGCAATAGACATCTATAGACACCCATAGGATACCATAGAAAACCATAGTAATCCTTAGACATCTCTGACCCCATATTCTTGAAACCCTAACTCCTCCTTTGAACCCTAGCCATCAGACACTCATAGTAACTCATAGACAACTGCATAAATCAAATCGAAATTTTTTTAATCTTCCAATCAAAACCCTAGATCCACCCGCCAAACCCTCGATCCGTGACGACAAGGTCACCCACTCCCATCCACGCCACCATCGCCAACCCCACACACGCCGCCATCGCTTACCCCAGCATCACCGCACC